ATAACCACACCTTTACATCCTCTCCATCAGCACAATAATATCTCCGACATCAAGTTCAAAGAGAAGGCCGACAGCTCACACACATGCCCACACCGGGCACTTCCCAGGGTGCATTTCAGTAAATGCATCCTCACTTATTGCAGAATAAATCACACAAGTCATTCTGTAGCTGCTTCAATATCAAAAATAAATCGTTCTTCTTGCCACAGAAAAATAGACTGTATTACATCACTGATGGTTATCACATTCAACACAGCATGCTCTCCTTTGGTACAGTAACGAGGGCCCGCTCTGGTTACATGAGGCCCTGTGGTAGGAAGCGCGTACAGCCAACTCAAAGTAACCGGCGCTGTCAAACGTACTGTATCAACAAAGACATCTTCATTCACTAAAGGAACGACTGTGCTCAGCAGCCGTGTTTCAGACACATTCTCAAACAGAAATAATAGAATGGAAACATTCCGGGACAAAGTCTCAAATCCACATGCGAGCACTCCTGCTGCTGTGTCTCTGCAGGTCACCACCGCTGTCTGTATGTTCTAACCTAAACCACCTCAGGCCATCCTGGGATACAAAATTTGAGGCTGAAATAGTGAACTACTGGTCCTATGCTCCATGGCGCAGAGAGATTTGGTCCTCTTCAGGGTTCAATCAGCAGCTCTCCTGGTCTCTGCTCTTTGAACGACTCGTTCAACAGAGAGTGTCTGTGTTGAAGGAGAGCTGGACCTGCAAAACACACAAGCACAGTCAAAGTTAGCGTCTGATAGCTTGTGCTGCAGCAAACATCATGCAACCAGCAATTCTATGTGTCAGTTAATCTACTCGTCATGTTTACTACCACTAAGCATGTGTAATAGTTGTGCATCAGGAGAACGGAGAAACCAAGTGTGCACTCTGCCTCCTGACGGTGTAACTGCTTTACTCTGTGCTGTGTTATAATATCTTACCTCACCATATTTAGTCAACAGAAGGACATCCTGTAGCTCTCATCTTGTCTCATCAGTCTCTCTCAGCTCAGCTTTCAACATTCAATATCAATTCAAATGTGTGTTTTGCAATAAAGAAACTTTATGAATGCCTGTGTATTGTATATATTATATTCCTTACAGCATTGAGGTTCATTAGACAATATTTATGATGCTATTTCTCTGTTGTGGTCCATCCTACATGGCTTCTGCACTTAAATCCCTGTGACCCTCGACCTGTAGCTCATGTTTACTACTAAAGTAAAATAAAATAAACACAGATGAAAACGCACTCACCCGCTCCTCTTCAAAGCTGATGAGTCCTTCGTCATCATCGCTCTCCAGCTCCTCTGGGGCCTCGCTGATCAGAGCGTTGAGCTCCGTGTTGGCCGGCCGAGACTTCAGCAGGTTGAGGACGCGCTGCAGGGGCGACTGTCCACCACCCGGGGGCGACGCCTCCTGCTGCTCCAGGTTGTCGCTCTGCTTCTTAGCAAAGTTGACAAACACCTAATAAAGCGGAATAAAGATGATTTATTTTAATCATTTGTCCTCATGAGGTCCTGCATGAAGTTGAGCCGGAGTGTTACAAGCTGACTCACATTGTCCAGAGTGGTCTGACTGACAGAGTACTCCTCAATGCCCAGCACCTCCACCACCTGCTCCATCTTACTGAAGACCTGAGCCAGGGAGATCCGCTCAGACTTCAGCTGGTACTGGATCTTGGTGTGGTGACGCTCCTGCAAATATACCTCACTCTGCTCATTGAGAAAAGTGCCCCATGTAATATGAGATGGAAAATATCAAAGAGGACAAAACATCATTTGGGGGCGGGTTTAAACAAGGTGGAAGAGGCGTGTTTAAACACATGGGGGCGGGGTTTAAACAAGGTGGAAGAGGGTGTTTAAACACATGGGGGCGGGGTTAACGATGCAAGGGTGGAGTCCTTTGAGAAATGCCTTTCACAAACAAGTACTCATATGATCTGTTGATAATATGAAAGTATTGACTAAAGCATATATAATGGGTATTCCATGAAATCAGTGTCTTCATGTCGTGCCATTATTAAAGGAAAGGATCTTGATCCAATACACCTATAAGTCTATAAGACTTTCTGGACTTTGAAGTTAGCATCAATGCTAAAGCTGGGGGTGAATATTCATCAATCAATCAGAGGTAGCTGCAGTAATCTACCTTCAGCACGGCCTCAGGGAAGTTCCTGTTGAAGAATCGAACCACCTCCTTCACATTAGAGCTGCTCTTTGTCCTCACGGTGATCATGTAGCCATCCCCAAACCTGGAACGTCATCATAGAAACATGAAATACTAACAGAGCAAACAATGCAAACTGTTGAGACAGAAAGTTAGTGCCAGCGGGGATAGCTAGCTGGCTAGTGATGCTCACAGACCCCACTGTGACCTGGAGCTCTCTAAAGAGAGCTAGCTTAGCAATGCCTGCTGGCGCTAACTTCCTGTCACACCGATCAGAGGATTGGCGGTTTGATCCCTGGTCCATGTTGATGTGTCCTTGGGCAAGACACTTCACCCCAAACTGCTCCGGCAGGCTGTTCCTGCGATGTATGAATGTTAGTTAGTCCTGATGGGCAGGTGGCACCTTGCATGGTAGCTCCTGTCATCAGTGTGTGAATGTGTGTGAGTGGGTACATGGACTATACAAGTACAGTCCATTACCATTACATACTTGTGTAGCCTCTCAGTAAGTGCACACGGTCATATTCCTTGGCCTTTGGGGACACGTTTCAACAGCTAAAGTAAAGATATCCAGCAGTTTGGTGATGTTTGGACACACTCTCATGATTTAGGGCAACATTTGCACCAGGACCTTGAACTAGTGGAGACCCCTATCAAGCGATTTCAAAACATTTCAACACACATGGTTCAACATTGCCATCAAACATATCCTGCAAGTTTTGTATTTATTGGACAAACAAATTCTCAAATCATTTGTAGCGCCCCCTAGTGGCCGGGTATGTTTAAGGTACTCGTGTGGACATATCCTGCAAGTTTTGTAATGATTGGCCCACGGATTGTTAACTTTATTGAAATTATGAAGAGAGCCATGGCCTTTTAAAGTTCATTAGTCAACATCGTTAAAGTTAAGCTTTGATAAGATTCATCCAATAATGATCCTCACACAATTTGGAAGCAATCAAACGGTTTAGAGATGTAAAAAAAGTGCTTTTGTTTTTATTCAAAATGGCCGAAAATCTAGTCAAGTGGTCCAAGAAGCTTTTCTGAAGTGCACATTGACCTGGACATGTGTGTCAAACTTCATGTCAATCGGATTAATGGTGTGAGGGGCGTGGCTTTTTCAAAATCACCACTTTGGGTGTTAATTACAGCGGCACCATGTGGCTGACTGGAGACATATTTCTTGGGAAGTACTCGCACATTATTTAGTAAAGTATTGTTTCATGTTTCTAGCTCGCTCCAACTAACGTGATTTTAAGCAGACCAGAAATAATAACAAATTGCCACAAACCCAACAGGGTTCAGTCCCTTCGGGGCAAGTCTCCAAATAAATGAAGTCCATTTACTCAGCTGTTAATGCCAAACTGTGTTTAAAACAATGCAGATTAGAGCACATCTATAAATCACAAAAGGAAGGTTGATCTTCATCCTCCTGACCTGTTCTTGAGATGCTGGATACTGCCCAGGCATTTAAACCTGCCGTTCACCATGATGCCCAGTCTGGTGCACAGAGCCTCACACTCCTCCATACTGTAAACGACAGCATGAAACACATATTAAGGACACTGTGGTGAAACACATATTAAGGACACTGTGGTGAAACAGAAGTGAAACACATATTAAGGACACTGTGGTGAAACACATATTAAGGACACTGTGGTGAAACAGAAGTGAAGATAAGTCACAACAGTAGAAGGTGAAGGACTGAGTTTCCTCACCTGTGTGACGTCAGCACTACAGAGCGTCCAGTCTTGATTATGTCCAGGATTAAATTCCAGAGGAATCTGCGCCCCTTTGGGTCCATGCCGGTGGTGGGCTCATCCTGGAGAAGCCCGCACAACACAGGTCAGAAGCTAAGAACTACATACTGGATTCAAAGATTACAGTACTTTCACTGTTCTTCCTGTCGCCTTCTACACATGCACACATGAAATGGACAATTTGTACAACTCGCCAAAGTGAATAGCTGAGATCTATGAACGATGACTAAAGAGAAGTAGAGCTTGGAGATCCAGCTGGTAATGAGTTTAAGATCAGGGCCAATACAGGCAAAACCAGGATATGCCATAACGGGGCGTTATTATGAACAATATTACAAAATTAGCTTCCTCTGGCCATCAGGCCGGTCAGCAATGAGGATGTTGTAAATATTTTAAACGTCTGTTAAAAACCCTGTACTATCGACAGTGTATGGTCACAATGTGTTACTTGCTCCTAAAGTTTTTATTCATTTGTGAAGCACTTTGTGACACCTGATCTGGCAAGGTGCCACATAAATAATAGTGTCCATGTTGAGATACTGTGGTGAGAGTCATTACAGTCCTCTTGTGGTCTTCCTCTAATGGGAACAATGATGATTGGTGAAACTCCTCTATATGCTCATGTCCCCGCTGTGGGACTACTAAAGGAATATCTCATCTCATCTCTCATCTTAAAACATATATTTGAACTTCTTACCAGGAAGATGACTGAAGGGTATCCAATAAGAGCGATGGCAGTGGAAAGCTTTCGTTTGTTTCCTCCACTGTAAGTGGCGGCAGGCTTGTCGGCATACTTTGACAACTCCAGCTTGTCTAATGCCCACTGCACCACCTAGAGGGGGTGAAGGAGAACACCTTAGGTGATGACGATGCATCTGTTTCAGGTGTGGAGGGGACAGAGGTGAAGAACTGGTGTGAAGATTTCCCACCACCGAACAAACTGAAGATGATTTATTCCAATACAGTGTTGTTGTTTTTAGGTATTATATACCTAAAGTTAACCTAGGTTGTAATGACTGTTTAACTGTGTGTGTGTGTGTGTGTGAGAGACTGACCCTCCCCTGGTCTTTCCATGGAATGCCACGGAGACGAGTGTAAAGCTCCAGATGTTCTCTGGCTGTCAGGTCATCAAACAGAGCGTCAAACTGTGGACAGTAGCCGATACTCTGCTGCACACGTAACAGGTCCTTCAGAATACTGCACACGCACGCACACACACACACACACACACACACACACACACACACACACACACAC